TTCCAGCCCTGGCATCCACCAGCCTCTCCAGATCTTGCGTCATCTGCGTAAATTTTTCCCTGGCCTTCGGCTCCAAGTTTCGGAGTGCCAGGGATTCGTCCAGATCCTTCTGAACTCCCTGTAATGGGGGTCTTTTGACCGCCACTGGAACGATGGCCTCCTCCCGCCTGTAGAGGTCCATGTTATCGTCGTAAACGGCGATTTTCGTATTTGCCTCCACTGAGGAGTTGGAGGAGGACTCCAAGATTGGGGTCCTTGTTACTCTCCTCCTCTTCATCTCCCTCGTTCTCCACTTCGATGTTCCCTTTGCCTCAGCATCCGAAGCCGAGGAGCAACCTCCGCAAATGTTCTGCGACGTTGGTGCAGATCGGGATGAGAGAGGTCCGGTGCGACTGAGGAGGATAGCTTAGTCGCGTTCTCTTCTTCAAGCAGCTTTCTATTCTCTATCCTCAGTCTCTTGTTTTCCTCTCTCATCCCGTTCATTTCCGCCTCCAGGTTTGACCGCTCGTCCGTCCTACCGTCTGTGGCCGCAAACCTAACCATTAGGGTTTGTAGGATGGCCTCGGAGAAGCCTACCGCCCGGTTCATGAGGGACACGAAGGTCCCCTTGAGAGTGTTTGACCTTCGTGCCACAAGTCTCAGTGCCCCGAGCGCCCGGCCCGCCTCCAGGGCCAATTCTGGGGTGGAGGCTTCCCGCAGGAGTGTGGCAGAACTTGCATCCTTATACACCTTCTCCATTGGCCTTCTGTCAGCCAGGGATCTCAGGATGCCGGTATTGAGGAGGTCCTCGATCTCCTTCTCCAGACATTTTTTCTTCTCTATTTTCTTCCTGGCTGCCTCTGCCTCCCTCTTCTCTCTGAGGCCCACCCCTAGACCGGTGGTGGGCTTCCTCCCCCTCGGGTCCCTCTTTCTAACAAGGACAGGTTCCGGGGTGTCCTGTTTCTTGGGAGACGAGTCCCTTAGGGAGACGATGGAACTCCCGCTGGTCGTCTCCCTCCTTCTCTTCCCCCTGTTCTGAGTCCCCAACCCGCTAACTCCGGCCTCGTTGGAGACAAGGGCCTTCGTTTTTACGGGTTCGGGTTTATGAGACGCGAGATCCTTGCCGGTGTTGTTGGTGGATTTCAGTGTGGTAGAGGAGACGAATCTGCCACACTCGTCCCTCTCCACCCTTGACCTTTGCGAAAGGAGGACGTTCGATATTATTACCGGCTTTCCCCCTTTACCGGTTGCGCCCGCGTTCGCGTCCCTTCCACCGGAAACCCGTCCCCCTCTCTTACTAGAGAGGGGGCCAGGCCTATTTATACCAGGCGTCCTGCCCGAGGATTTGGCGCCGTTGCCCCTGGTCAGCCCCGTTCCCTCGTTGGGTGGTCCCTCTTCTTTCCGGGGATCCGCGTCGCCTTCCCCCCGGTGGGAGAGACGCATCTCGTCTTCCGACGAGGGTTGGTGTCCCCCGGAGCGTGGCCGCCCCTCTTCCTGCCGAGGGCTCACGTCGCGAGTCCCCCGGTAGGGACCGCGCTTCTGGCCGATGTTTCCCAGGGTTCGTTCTCCCTCGGTGCGCGGCACCCCTTTCTTCTTCCCCGAGGGGTCCGCTCGACTCACTCCCCGGCGGGAGCGGTCTCTCCGACATTGCTGCACGGAGTGGGTCCAGACTCCGGGGTCGTAGTCCGGATCCCCATCGGAAGACTGACAGCAGCGAAAGCTGTTTGGAGCTGTTATCGGCGGCTGACCTGTCGTCTGTTGACGACATGGCGGGGCTCAGGTCCGGTTCCCCGACATGACGCTTCAAAGTTATTCAGACTGCGTCTCAATTTTCCTCCTTAATCCATATAATAATTATTGGAAAATGTGCCAAAAAAAATTTCAAAACAACCAGCGAAGCATATTAAAGAAACAAAACAAGGTACACAAAAAAGTTATAATCTGATGATATATAATAAAACATCCATGATCAGATGATATGTAATAAACAAATCTTTTGTTATTTTTAGTATCCCAACAAAATGATTTTTCACAAGATTTGTTTCACAAGCAAACGAAGCATAATATGCAAACGGAGAATAATGTAATAAATGTAATGTTAATATAAATTATGAAAATTTACTGAGCACAAGCAAGCAACAAACTAGTGATCTAGACAATGGTAATTGTCAAGGTATGTTAGTAACTTTTATATATTTTTTATTTGATTTGGAACATGTGATTAATTTTTATCTGAGAATGCTTTTGTGGAAATGTTTCCGACTGCAGAAGTAAGCAAGTATAAATAGAAGCATTATTATTACATATTAATGAAACATTCATGATCAGATAATATGTAATAAACAATTCTTTTGTTATTTTTAGTATTGCAACAAGATGATTTTCTACAAGATTTGTTTCACAAGCGACCGAAGCATAACATGCAAACGGAGCATTATGTAATTAATAAAAATTACGAAAATGTACCGAGTACAAGCAAACAACAAACTAGTGATCTGGACATTGGTAATTGTCAAGGTATATTAGTAACTTTTATATATTTTTTATTTGATTTGGTACATGTGATTCATTTTTATTTGAGAATGCTTTTGTGGAAATGTTTTCGACTACAGAAGTGAACAAGCACAAATAGAAATATTATTATTATATATTAAATTATAATTTTACATTGTCTCGACAGTTTATTGTTATCTCTTCTTTATTCAAATTTATTGATTTTGCGGCTTATCAATATATTTATACAGGGTGTTTGATAGCTGATCATGCAGACGAAAGTTGGAGATAGATTGAGTGTAGCCGAGAAGAAAAGTCATGTACCATAATGTCAAATTGCCAATAGTTATCGAGTTATTAATTAAAACATGTGAGCCAACGAGCGCGTAGAGAGCGGAGGGCGACCGCAGTAAGCACATAGACATTTGATACAGGCGGAGTCAGCGAGTGACGGTAGGCGAGCGCACGCGACGAGGGGTAACGTATGCGACAAGAGGCGATCGCGCGCGACGAGGAGCGAACAAGCGCGAACGACGAGGAGCGAGCGAGCGCAAGCGACAAAAGACGAGCGAGCGCGACGAAGAGCGAGCGAGCTATAAGGAAAAAGCTATAAAGAAAAAGCTCGCTCGCTCCTCGTCGCGCGCGATCGCCTCTTGTCGCTTACGTTGCCCCTCGCCGCGCGCGCTCGCCTATCGACACTCATTGACTCCGCCTGTATCAAATATCTACGTGCTTACTGCGGCCGCCCTCCGCTCTCTACGCGCTCGTTGGCTCACATGTTTTAATTAATAACTCGGTAACTATTGCCAATTTGACATTATGGTACATGACTTTTTTTCTCGGCTGCACCCAATCTATCTCCAACTTTCGTCTGCATGATCAGCTATCAAACACTCTGTATAAGAGTGTAATATTTTTATTAATTCACAGGAACAGAAAATTTTCACCGATTTGTTGTTGAAACATTAATATCTTTAAAAATGAAAGTCAATGCAGTAGACAGAAATGTAAAACTTCTTTTGCATAAACGGTCAGTTCCTACTATTGACACAGAAGAAGGGGAAGATGACATTTTTCAGAATTTACCAGTTAAAAGTGACAATGAACTTGAAGTAATAGAAACAAAGTTAAAGAATGACTCAACTTATAGAAAAAATTTGGTACTTTACATCTGTTTATTATTTAATATAGCTGTTAAGCAACGTAATAAAAATTACAAAAACATAGATTAAAACCTAAGTTGTATTTTAACACTTTAATTATATAACTATTCATTATCATAATAACAGGAAAATATTCGGAACATTTTACATATTTTTTTGACTCGATTGGAAGAGAAACTGTTGTTTAATAGACATATCTTTTTATTTTAACGTACGCTGTAATAATTTTTGTCGTGCAATTTTTCACTTTTGACATAATTAAATAAAGATAGTCTCAGAGAGGATCCATAGAGTCATAACATATATAAATTAATAAATGTCATTAGACGAAATATTGAATTAATATTAACTCTATACTTACATTTCAGATTAAACAATTGGTTCGAGTTGTATGCGAGGATTTAAAAATATCATAAGATTAATGAGACAAATCTTCAGCAATGAATTAGCCATGGAATACAGCTGGTATGGAGCGAAAAAGAAAAATATCTTCAGCAACTTACAATTGTGTAAAGTAATTATATATAAGTAAAATATACAATCAGAATATATATACAGAATTGTAAATCTTAGTTTTTAATTAATAGCATAATTGGTAATTATTTAGAAGAGGCACGCCGCCTCTGATTTTGCTAAAACTCTCATTTGATTCATTTTCACATGTAGAAGCCGAATCTGAATTAAAAATCATTGCTCGGCTGTACAAAGCGAGAAAAATATTGTTTAAGATAGAATATAATAGGTTAAGAAACTTGTTATTGCAAGGTAAAGTCTGTTCGTTATACTTATTGTAATGCAGTGCAGTATAACAATTACATATACTTAAATTAAGAATATTTATATAAATAATTTTGTCACATGTCACCTTGCATAGAGGCCTTTGCTAATCTTTTCAGAATTTGTCGTTTTAATGTATGATAGACTCATTGATTTAGTAAGACGAAGATTTAAAGATATATTCTTTTATAATTATTGTACATAAAATAGGAGTTATTTTGTGTACAATTTAAAATAAGACCTATCTTGTGTACAATAATTGCAAAAGAATATATTTTTAAATCTTTGCCTTACTAAAGTGATGAGTCTACCTTATATTAAAATGACAGATTCTGAAAAGATTAGCAAAGGCTCCTATGCAAAGGAGAATGTATCATGAATCAAAAGCGGAAGAATCATAGCATATGTTATTTTATTGCGTAACAAGAGGAACAAGATCAGTCCTACATAATGAGATAGCATATACTTACATTCTTCTGCTTCTGATTAATGATACACTCTCCCTTGTGTAGGGGCCTTTGCTAACCTTTTTAGAATCTGCCATTTTAGTACATATAAGGCGAAAATTTAAAGATATATCCTTTTATAATTATTGTACACAAGATAGAAGTTATTTTTTGTACAATTCAAAATAAGTTCTATCTTATGTACAATAATTATAAAAGTTAAGTTGTATACTGCGCTACACTAATACAGTAAGTACAACGAAGAAACTTTACCTTGCAATGACAGGTTTCCTAACCTATCATACCTCTATCTTTAACAATTTTTTTTTGCTTTATAGAGTTGAATAACTATTTTTACTTTTGGATCCGGTTTCCATGAGTCAAAATATATATGATACGTTTAGCAAAATCGGAGGCGGTATGCCTTTTCTAAATAATTACCAAATGTTTAAACAAATATTTAAGTAATCTCTTTATTTATATATTTACATTAACATAAAATTTTTCAACTTTCTTTTAAGCAACTTAAATGAGAACAGATATTTATTTAAAGAAAACACACACTCTCTCTCTCTCTAATTACACTGATTTTTAAATTTTATATTCCAGGTGTGATAAGAAAGTCGCATATAACTGCAACAGATGAACAAATTTCTGCTCCCATCAAGATCTGGCTGGCTCATGCAAAGGAACGTGCAAAAAAACAAAAAATAATTGAGTTATTTTAGATTTTACATATATATATAATTTATGAAGATACATATATATATATCAGGTTATGTAAAAAGAAATCCATTATTTTTGCATGAAATTGAAGGCTTTAATTACCATAGTTAGAATGATCCGATTTAGATCAAATATGCGCCGTTTTGTTCGATAACTTGTTGCAATTTTGAAGGTAATTTCATTATGCCTTTCTCATAGAAGCCCTCGTCCCTATTGGCAAAAAATTGAGACAGTCGATTTTCACAAGCCTCTCTTGAAGCGAATTTTTCACCAGCAAAATTGTTCGCCATGGACAGGAACAGATGGTAATCACTTGCCAGGTCTGGACTATAAGGTGGATGCATAAGAACCTCCCAACCAAGCTCCCGGAGCTTCTGGCGAGTCACTATCGATGTGTGTGGCCTGGCGTTGTCCTGATGGAACACAATTCCTCTCCTATTGGCCAAAACTGGCCGCTTCTGGGCGATTGCTTCCTTCAGACGGTCCAATTGTTGACACTACAGTTCCGAGTTAAGAGTTTTGCCATAGGGGAACAGCTCATAGTAGATAATTCCCTGCCAATCCCACCAAACACACAGCAAAACCTTCCTGGCCGTCAATCCTGGCTTGGCCACCGTTTCCGCCGGCTCACCGCGATTCGACCACGACCGTTTTCGCTTGACGTTGTCGTAAGTGATCCACTTTTCATCACCAGTGACCAACCGCTTCAGAAATGGGTCGATTTTGTTGCGATTCAGCAGCGATTCGCAGATGGAAATTCGGTCCATGAGGTTTTTTTGCGTTAATTCGTGTGGCACCCATACATCGAGCTTCTTTTTGTATCCAGTCTTATTCAAATGATTCCAAACAGTTTTTTGTGTAATCTTTAGCTCTTGGGCAATCGAAACAGTGCTTACATGACGGTCGGACTCGACAATGTCCATGATTTTATCGATATTTTCGACAATTGGCCTTCCAGTGCGTGGTGCATCTTTGACATCGAAATTACCGGAACGGAATCGACGAAACCAAAATTGCGCGTGATTGGCTGTTACAGTATCAGGACCATAAACACTATTCATATTTTCAGCCGCCTGGCTTGCGTTTTCGCCTTTATCGAAGAAAAACTGTAAAATATAGCTGTAAAATATTTTCTCTTTGCTAGTGTCAATCTTTGACGCGCGCTCAAACAAAACTGAATCAACTAATCACAAAACTGTCAGAAAAGTTTTTTTAGTACGAAATCTCATCTTTCTAACGCCATCTAGTGGAACCCGATCGGACTTATACAACGCGAGATACAGATAACTAAAGCCATCTATTGGAAAAATAATGGATTTCTTTTTACTACACCTGATATTATAATTTATAAAGTTTATAGTTTATAAAGGCAGTACAAGTTGTTAAGAGTTCATTTATATGTTAAACTAATTTAAAAAATATATATTATAATATATATATAACCAATTTGTCATTTCATTATTCCCAAAAAAACCTGCAGAATATTTATATATTATATAAATATTCTACAAATATACTAACAATAAACTAGGAAATATTTCTAATCGATACTAGTAATATTATTAAAATATTATTTAGATATACCTACAATATAATACGAAATATTCTCAGTATATACTGAGTAGACTGCGGAAGCGGACATAGGAACATTCTCAGTATATTCTCAAAATATTACAATACGTATTTCGAATATTCATGGAATAATCGCAATTTACGGTTGCGATATACTGAGAATCTGCTTAGAATCTACCTGTGCTGTATGGGTGCTTACTTCTGCTGAACACAATAATATAATTCCTCACCTATGGAAATAATAGCATTATACATATATATTCATTCAACGTCGATGATAAATTTATTAACATTAAAGAAATTATGGTTTATAACTTTTTTAACTTACACTCAAATTTAAAAATATTTTTCACTTAAAATATTATTAGACAATTAATACTCTCCTTTAATATGCTGTTTTACAAATTTTATGAAGCCTTTTGCCACTTTTCTTCACAATTTGTTCACTCATTCTTCACTCTTCTTCATTCTTCACTCTTTGTTTTCTTCATTTCTTCAATCATAACTCAAAGTCTCCAAGACATTTGTGTCTACGCCACAATCACTACTTATTTGACACTCGTGTATGCCATCCTTCTGCTCTCGTAATAAGTGACAGCGCTGACGTATGAAGCAGTGGTTGTCTTTCTCCTCAAGTTGGAGCGCGTTCCGAAGTCAACAAAAAATCGGTGCACATACCTTTTAGTTCACGAGTGCACGATCGCGAGCATAAAGATTTGTGACCGTTTTTTTTGCAACTTTCGGAAAGCATCCCGACTCGAGAAGAATGAGAGTCACTGCTCCGCCGTGACTCTCATTCTCGTGGAGCACGCCTGCGCAGTGACTCATGACGAAAGGCGAGAAATGAAATATACGCGGTGGGACATATTATAATAATACAGACTCAGATGAAATGAATACTCCAGTATTAAATGGAAATGAGGGAACACAGAACAGACAAGAATCATCCGATGTAAGTCTTATACTTCGAAGGACATCCGAAAAAGGTAAAATACGAACTTAATTAGAGAGAATTAAGCTGCATTACGATAGTTACGATTCTGTTATACATTTATATATAATTAATTGTTCCAGCAACAGCCACCTTCTATAGCAGAAGCAATGATATTAGATACAGAAGCAGCTGCTATAGCGAATTTTGAATTTTTGGGACATACAAACATGGACATGGAAGAGGAAGAAGGAGATGGAGAGGATGAAATTTATGATGCAAATACAGATACCAAACCAAATAAAGTAACGCTTACCATCATCTTGCGTTTTTAATGATATTGTTCACGCTATTTGTTAACATAATTTCTTATTTTTCAGGCATCTATCCCCTTCTAGCGGAAGATGTTGATACAGATACAGAGGCAGAAGTATTAAATGAATTAAATCTCCTCACAGAAATTGAAGAATCGCCACCTGGTTCTATCCACCTGGAAATGAATTCTTCAAAGGGGTTAGTAAATCTCTTTTTATTCGTGTATTTTAAGATAAAATATAAACCTATTACAATAATAGATATTTTGTAATATTGTCACATATAATCACATAATCTAATGATGCCTGTAAGTTTATTATATAGAAGATTACAACAAGATCCAAGACGCCCAAATAATAAAGAAGGCGGTCACTCTACGCTGGAATTAGGAGAATTAGAACAATTATGTGTTAACAATGATACAGAAATATCGTACGATGTAAGTTCCAAGAATTTTCCCCTGTATTTCAGTCGAGTCGTTTTTTCAGCTATGTAAGTTACAGTTTGAATAAAATACAGTTTGATCTCTTCGAACGTTTCGATAATCTATATAATATATATATATATATATATATATTATATATATATATACGGGTGTCCCATTTTAAGTGTCCACCCCAAATATATCTCTTTTTTTTTATTTTAGAGAAAAATGGTTCAGACACGTTTTGTATGGTTTCGAGGGGGCCATAAGAGGGTACCATTGATTTGACCTTGGAGAGTCATTTGAAGGTCACGTAAAGGTTACTTCAATTTTTTTAGATGGTACTCCCTATCTTTTTATTACATATTCTTGTAGCTCACCTCGAGAGCTTCCCAAAACATTAGAATCAAATGTATTTTGGTGAAGTACTTTTTGAAGTTATAAAGCTCCAAATTTACAAAATTTTGATAAAAATACAACTTATTTCGTAAACATTCACTTTTCGATAGTCTTATCTTACATGATCCAACCAGTCAAGGCGAGACCGAGCATGATACAACCAGTCCAGGCAAAATCCGAGCATAATCTAGCCAGTCAAGGCAAGATCCGAGCATGATCCAGCCAGTCAAGACAAGATCCGAGCATGATCCAACCAGTCAAGGGAAGATCTTCTGTGTACAATTACTTAAAGTATTCAAAAACTTGGCCATTTATTTGTATGCATAGCTCTAGTCTATGGTGAAAGTCGTCCCTAACTTTTCAAGAACACTTACATTAATATTTCTGCAAGCCTGTCTGATCCGGTTTTTCATATTTTCAACGGTTGTAGGCTTTTGCGAATAAACTATATCTCTAATGTAGCCCCAGAAATAAAAATCTAGGGGTGTCAAGTCGGATGATCTTGGGGGCCATTCTTGAACTCGGCTGCCCATACCAATCCACCTATTCGGGAATCTATTGTTTAAATATGTGTAACAGCTCGAGATCTATGAGCCGGTGCTCCATCTTGTTGAAACACATTCGTCTGAGTAAATCATTGTCGACATGTCTCAGGAGGTTGGGGCAGGTCATCTTGAAGAAATCTTAGATAGATTGCCGCATTGAGATTTTCTTAAAAAAAATATGGACCATAACATCTCCCAGGATGCCTGCCCAAACGTAAATGGACCACTGCCGTTGGAAACTCTTGGCTTCTCTGCCAATGTTGATTAGCATCTGAATAATAATGGCAGTTATGTCTATTAATGCCTCCTCTATTACAAAAACGTGGTTTCATCAGAAAAAAGCGTATCAGCAATGAACCGGGGATTTTGTTGGATTTGATCTCGAGCCAGTTACAGAAACGTACACGGTGTTGGTAGTCCCTCTCTTCCAATTGCTGAGTTAAGCCGCGGCACACGGTGCTTGTTTTCGTGCTGAATTGCTTGCTGGATGAAATACTTGCGTTCTGATTGGTATATTTCCATCCCATCTTCGGAAATGTACCAATCAAACGCAGTATTTTCATCCAGCAAGCAATCCAGCACGAAAACAAGCACCGTGTGCCGCTGGCTTTAGATGAATGTGATATGGATGAAACTTGTTGAGTTTGAGCACACGATTGGCTGCTGTTGATTTAGATAACCGTATTGCCTCTCAATTTGTCTCGTAGAGATTTGAGGATTCAAAGCAATGGCACTATAACAGTCAATGATGTGACTTCATCAGGGTCCGATTTTCGCCGGTTTCTTTCTAAGAAAACCCTGTTCAGCTCTGTCACAGAGTCTTTTTT